ATGTAAAGCACCATAAATATCATGGATTGGGATGTGGACCAGGCAGTGGGAATTTGTGTAGGTTAGCAGGCAACATTTGAGTCTGGGTCTTTTTCTTCGTTATTTCAGTGTGTGTCATTTTTTCTACACAAACCACAGGCTCCTTTTTATGAGAAACAGCAACAAAGGAAAGCTCCCTGGTTCTGAAGGACGTCACTGTCGATGCTTTATTACGAAGCTTTCACTGTACTTACAGTGCAGGAAATTTTTAGGTTTGCATTTTTAGTCAATGAATGTATTTGTACCACCTTGCAAGGAAGAAGGTATTTCCCCTTACACTTCACACCTGTGGCATCTCCTCCGAAGGGAGCTCATGCTGCCTTTCCTGAAATAAGATTCATTTAGAGTCATAGTGAAACTACCACAAGCAGATAGACAAGTGACTCAGTAAGTGAGTCACGACTTAGCAGATAGAAATAGAGTGTTAGACAGTAGTCTGTCCCAAAATCATCGCATTATGGTCCAAACTGCATTACCAACCTGTGCCGAGAGCTGCTGGGAGTCCAGCTCTCAAAGACATGGCTTGGCACAGCCAAGAAGGAACCAGCCTTTGGGAGCATCGGCAGTGGCCAGCTAATGGAGAAAAACTGCTGCAGAAAATGTCTCTTTCTGCTCTAGAGGTCACATTAGTGCTGCTCGCTGATGGAGGCGGAGGAAGCTCCCAAAGGAGGAGTATTCCTCACTGAAATTGAATATATATTGATTTTTCTTTCCCAGCCATAAACTGTGAGTTTCAGCCTCTCACTGCTGAAGAAGGTGGTAACTTCAGAGCAGAAAATAGGAGGAAACAGCAAGCAAGAGAGACAAAACCCAGGCTGAGCCTGTGGGTGATGGGCAGTGAGCTCAGCTGTCCTCAGCAAAGGGGCACACAGGCAGTCTCATTAAGGAGATTTATTATGCAGAGCTGATGGGATCCGCCACCCAACAGCCAGGACTGAAATAGCAGAGCCGTCGCTCCAGCTGGGGAAAGGCTGGGCGGTTTAAGAGGTCTTCTTCATCTCAGATTTCCGCAAGCGAGCTAATTGCCCAGGAGGGCAGGCAGACAGTCTTTGCTCCTGCAAAGTCTGGCAGGAGGAGCTCCCAGCGGCATCCTGGGCTCCTGGAGGATGAGGATTCTGTGGTGAGCTGGTTTGACCCTTCCTGGTACTCTGCCCTGTAGGTGGGCAGCTCCAACCCTGCTGTTCAGAAGGCTGTCCGTATATGAATTTTGACTTCCTCTTTGAAATCATTTATAGGAAATGTTATCAAGTTCCACCTCTTTTTTTCCCCTTAAAATAAGACAACTAAAAGTAATTCTTTGAAATGTTCTGTCCCAAATGCTGGCACTGCTGCAGGACAGTCACCCCATGGTTTTGCTGGCGGCCATCCCCAGGGATACCCTGTGGTTTGGCCTCAGAGGGTGTGTGGCTTAAAGCCAGCCCCGCTGTCCTGCTCCCCACTGAGCCCTTGGCCTTTTTTCCACTGGACCTTTATGTGGGACTGCATGCTACCAGCACGTGGCTGCTGCTCATCCTGCTGCCCTCGCCATCCCTGTGGCTTTGCTCTGTACAGTAAAGATTATCCTCATGGGGGAGTCATGAGCATTAACTTAGCTGGTAAAGAACATCAAGGTTTTTGGCTATTTTGTGTTTTGTTATTATAACCAGAAAAAAAATCAGAAACTTGCAGGCCAGATAATATTTCAAGCCAGTTTACCTTGTGCAGCGTATACGTGCTCAGACACCAGTTATCTCACACAAACACATGCTCCCTGGCAGGAGGTAAGCAGCCTTGGCTGAAGCCCTCCTGTGCCGGCTCCCAGCTCCCATTCTCCCCTGTTTACCAGCTGGCTGGTGGTAAAAACCTCGCAGGTTTGCTTGTGGCCTGTTTTATCTGGCACTGCCTCCAGCACTCCTGCACAGCAGCTGCCCATGTGCAGCAGCAGCCTGTGTTCAGCTCCATGCTGGAGACAACAGGGTGTGTAGGCAGCTATCACTTTCTTAAAATCCCTCCCAAAATGAAACAGAGCCACTCCTCTCCCCTCTAGAAACAGCTCTGCCACATCTGAAGTGAGAAATTCAGAAGTATAAAGAAAACACTGCTAGTCTGTGCTGACCCGAGCCATGGGCTGGCACCCAACCAGCGCCGCCGCAAGCTCCGGCTTCCTTTTGGCACCGAACACTCCCACTTATGAAGGGCAGATGAAAATTGTTCTGGATTGGCACTGGCTCTTGTCTGATTACAGCTGTGCTGTTCTGATACAGCCTTCTCACAAACAGCGCTGCCCAGGACGGAGGAGCACAGCCGTGGTGTGGGGCAGCCTCAGCTGGGCTGAGGGATGAGGATGAGGAGGAAGGCTCATGCTGCTCCACACCATGTCCTGCTCCATGGGACAGGTCACAGCAAAAAACCAGGCCAGGCAGCATCTAGATAAGCAAAAATGGTTTGAAGCACAAATCTTGCAAGTAGAGCTTGGTGAAAGCTTCAGGATGGAAATGAGCTATTTTGGGGAAGAGAGTGGTAGGACTAAGAATGTAAAATAGAGTGAGAAGTGGAAGAGACGGTGCCCACCCTGCAGTGAGGGATTCACCAGTTTCTGTTGGTTTTGCTCCCTTGGCAACAGGTACAAAGCAGCCCCCAGCAAAGTCCTCATTAGCTCACCCTCCCCTTGCACCCACACTGATTTAATTTTTTCCACCCAGCCCTATCCTCTGACTGACCACACGTGATAACCAGTTTCTCACGCAGCATCAGTGCCGCTCTCCTCTCCCAGCAGGGTGAGCACCAGGCAGCCCCCTACCTCCACTCACTGCTCCCATCAGCCTGCTCAGGCGATCTGCCTGCAAGGAGCAGGACATCAGGCTGCCTTTTGGCTTGCACAATGCACAGCTGTGGCTTTTGGCTCTCCTACTGGTTGCCCAGGTTCTTCTGAATCCTACAGGCCTTTAGACTCACTAAATCTTCCTCCAAAGGTATTTCTCTTCTTGTTGCTTAGGGGTGAGAATGTGCTAGGAGAGCTGACCTGGCTGTCCTGGTACATCTGCAGGGTGTGCATGAAGCATGCACGGTGCTTGGATTGAGGGTGGTGGAGGTGTGAACTCCATCTGGGACTGTACAAAGCAAGATGCCTGCTGAGCTGTGCCCCACTGTTGGAATTAGCTACTCAAGGAAGCTTTTTCTCTGTAAACACTTCTTTCTTTGCTTCCTTTTCTTTTATTTTTGGGTGGGGGAGCGTTTTTTTTTCTTGGCTCCCACACAATCTGTCATGCAACTTGGGTGATGATCAGTAATCTGATGTTACCTCTAGCTAATTCCAGCAGAGACTAAATCCCTTTCAAACCTGGTCAGGTCATAAATTTGCTTTGTTCAATACTTTGCACTTCAGTTCTGCTTCGTGTCTGTTCCAATACAACCTCTCCTTTGAGAGCCACTCCTTTCCCTAGGCTGCTGCGCATTCATTCAGCCTTGCAAGAGCTCTAAATACTGCAGCCTCTGGTCCCTGGATGATGTTTTTGATTTGTCCTTTGCTTTCAAAATAGATTAAAGAACTGCCAAGCTGAGTAGATATATTTATAGATAAAATATTGTGTGAGTATGAAAACACTGAAAAGCTTTGCCCTGCAAGAAAGCCTCTTGAGTAGAAAAAAAACCAACCACTTTTTCTTGACTAATGGCTATTTTTTGTTGATTGTTTTCACCATCACTGTATCCACAGGAACTGTAGGTGAAATGTGTAGTGCTGATCCCTGAGTGTCCCAGTAAGAACATGTACATGTTAGTGAAAACATCCTGAAATCAGCTGTTTTGCATCAAGGCCAGATGGTTGAATCTGACAGTTTAAAAATGGTCACTCTGAAAAACAAGTGTGAATTTGAACCCAGGCTGTTGCCCAGGTCTGTGTTGTGATGAGTCCCTTTGCAGTGAGCGCATGAATAATGCTCAGGCAGGGAGGTGGTCCTGGTTGTTCAGATGTTTCCTTGTAGAACTTGGAACTACTGCAGCAATTGGAGCAGCCAGGGCTGTATGGTGCCTGCGCACCTGAATGGCGTGTGAGCCCCTTCACCCCCATGGAGCCAGAGGCTCCAATGCCATTTGTATGGAGTTGGATGGGGGGAAGCTCCAGCACCTTGTTTCAGCTTTCCTCTGCAGAGCTGAGCTCAGGGTGGATTCCTTCTGGCCCTTGAAGTAAGCGTGTTGGTGACAGCTCTAATCAACACGGGGACACTTACAGTGCTGATGAGCTAAAACAGCTGCTGCAAAAGTGGGGAATGTTATTTTGTTCCTAGAAACTTGCATGTGGCTTAGTGAAGTGATGCAGCATCTTTGTCCTCCAAGAGCTTCATTTAAGCCTGTACAGGATCCATATCTTCAGCCATAGCAGCTAAGGAGGCACTGGTGCTGACAGGGCTTGATTCAGGTTAAGTGTCACTGGAAGCAGCATCTGTGTAAGCAGATGCTGTTCTACAATGTTTGGGAGGTTCTTGTTTAACTTCTTAGCACTACAGCTCCCCTAAGGTTAGTTCTGGGCTTCCAGATGTAGCTGACAGCTCATTAACAGGTTTTTACTGCCCCTGGAAACCAGCAGGTCACCTGGAGGCCTCACTTTGGGCAGGAGGTTCTTGTTGCCAGGTGTTAGCTTATGTGCTACAGCATGCGGGGTGGACCCAGATGTTTTCACTTCACAGAGGGAAATGCATTATCTCTTCCTGGTTCACCCACAGCAGCTAAAGGCAGGTGAAGCATTAGAAGAGCTGTACCATGCTGGCAGGCTGAGGGGGAGAGGAGGGAGAAGCCTTGTTCCTCATGGTCTCCCACCTGACAGCCCTCTGCCTCCTACCACAAACACAAGCTGATAGTAAGCACTTTGGATGGAAGTCACACTTCAGCCAGCTTAATAAAACAGTCCTGAAACCTGAGAGAAAAACAGGTGTGTGTGCGATTGCTGTGTTGCACTAACGGGGCCCTGTCTGTGCTGCCTGCAGGCCTGGCGGAAGCGCTGGTTCGTGCTGCGCAGAGGGCGCATGAGTGGCAACCCAGACGTGCTGGAGTACTACAGGAACAGCCACTCCAAGAAGCCCATCCGCATCATCGACCTCAATGAGTGCGAGGTGCTGAAGCACTCGGGGCCCAACTTCATCAAGAAGGAGTTCCAGAACAACTTCGTCTTCATCGTGAGAACCACCTACCGCACCTTCTACCTGGTGGCCAAAACTGAGGAGGAGATGCAAATCTGGGTGCGCAACATCAGCCAGATCTGCAACTTTGGGCATTTAGAAGATGGCACAGGTAGGATCATGCTTGTCTTGGGGGCTGGAGGATGTCGTGGGTTTGGGCTCTTCCATAGCATTGCTTGGGGAAAAAGGAAAGGTAGACCGTGGAGCAGCTCTGAGGTGGTGCTAGACCCTGATTTGAAGATTATCAGGGATCTGGCTTCTGCTGGGTGGAAATAATAGTTGGCCACTCGGTCTCACATCGATGAAGCAATTTCTGCTAGAATAAACATCAGGCCTTTAATAAGAAAAGGTACTGTTTATGTGAAAAGCTGACTGTTATCTTCTGGGGCCATTTATTTCATTACACGTCCCATATTTATTTAGTTTGGCTTAATGCAAGACACCTGTTCCTGGAAAGTGTCCTGCAAAACTTGCATTTTCTCAGGCTTTGTTGGATGTGGAAAGTGCACGGATTTGGGTGTCTATGTACACATAGCTCAGTATTTTTGTCATTGATTTATCTTTGTCTATTAATGAGAAGAAAAATAAAGCAAAGGCAGAGGACAGAAGAGCACTGGGAGAATATGCCTAGACTGAAGAGATGGTCCTTCTGTGCTGCACGAAGCCGGCCTGTTCTGCCAGGCCCTGTGCCTGTGTGTAGGCAGTAGGGTGAGTTTCTTGGGAAGCTTCCAGGAGTTAACCACTCCAAGATGGATCTAGCCAGTAATTAAAGCCGGGACCTGTGTCATCGTTAACCTGCCTCTCGAACAAGAAAACTGGGCTCAGATAACAACAATCTGTCTTTCCCTTGACATTTCCAAGGGGCAGATACGGCAGCAATTTGAGAGCTTTGTAGGAAGTGAGTCACAATAAAGTCCTTTGCTGTGATAAAAGCTAGCAGAAGAGCAAAAAGGGTGGTGATGGAGAGACCTTTGGAGTTATCCAAGATAACTCAAAGGGCAGAAATATATTTAGGGGTGTCACAGCGTGACTGGGCAGACTGTCCTGCCCTGGTCCATGTGCTAATCCTGGTGATTGCAATTGCTGCATGGACATACCACTACCTGGTAGCAAGAGGAAGCAAAAGGTAATGAGATGTTTTGTTTTAACCTGTTCCAGTTCCTGGTCTTCTTTAATAACTTTTTCAGTAGTTCATTCTGAGGGGAAATGGGAATGGGAAGAGCTCTACAGTGTTCCTGTTATAAACTGATGTCTGCTGTCTTTAATCTTTAATCTTAGAGACCTCTAGGAAATCTTTTTGTGCCACTAGAACTTGCAAATTTGAGCTGTGGCCTTTTGTGATAGCAGTCAGTAGTCCTTCCAAGCTGGGTAACCAGGGACCAATAAGGAATCCACTCCTACTCATCTGCCCTTGTTGAAACGAAGATGTTGCTCTTGTGTTGTTGCTTTTGCTGCAATATTATGTGGGTTATAATTTTTACCAATTAGTCTAAAATGATGTCAAGTCTTTTCGTGCAAAATAAAGAAAACAAATGCATTTCTTCATCTCTCAAATGTGCATTCAGACTTCTGGCAGAGTACTGAGGATATGCACATGGAGATGTGATCTGTGGCAGGGGAGCTAAGGCTGTATCTGGAATAGATGTATTTTTGCTGGAAAACTTTATTGTTATTCTGGTAGAGCATAACATTCCCTGCACAATGGTTGCACGTGGGCAGTACTGGCACTATCACACGGTATTATTTCTCTCCCAGTGAAGACCACCAATGTAGTTGTTGATGGACCAAAAGTGACAGCCTTTGCTCTGGCAGGCCGGAAGGCTGGCATCCTTGCTTTCTGCTCTGTTCCTCGAGGCAAATATCCCCCACAGTGCAGAGCATTTGCTTGGGTCATTATGAAGTATGGCATCTGAAGCTGCAGCCTGCATCGCAGACAGTGCAAACAGAGCTTCCAGGCGTGCACCTCCATATCTCTAACGGCAAGCAGCTAATTTATCCTGCAGTTCCTGTTGATGTGGTTGGGTCTGGGGTGTGTTTGAGTCAGGCCACAGGGCACGTTCAGATCCTATTCCTGCCCTCTGATTTAAGTCTGCATATTTCCACAGGTTGCACAGTACATCTCAAATAGATAATTGCTCCTTTTTTTCTGGAAGCACCTAAATCCCCCAAGAGTCTGTAGGTTCAAACAAATTACCCTTAAAAATTAGCATAAGAAGAGAAAACTCTATTAAATGCCATATACTTTTTTAACACGAATGCTACTGTTACAAAAATAATAGTCTCTAAAATGAATCATCAAAAGAAAGACACATCCATTGCAGGAAATTTTAATAAGATGTTCAGTGTATTAAAATGACTATCAAAGCCAATATTATATTATGAAATCAATCACTCTCAATCCTCTCATCTTTCTCAAAATCTCCTCTGAGACTGACTCTGAGGCCAATCCCAAACCTAATGCTTTCTCCGCTTAATGCACAGAGTGCAGCAGGGTGTGGGCAGTGACTCAGTCCCAACCACCACCCAGTTCTCAGCCCTTCCAGCAGCAGGGAAGCCGGACTCAGAGTCAGGCCTTCTTCACCAGTGGCCTCTGGTTTGGCATTTAAGCAGCCAGACCAAAGCTATCAAAACCTCTGCTGGTCCCGTCAGGAAAATCTTTTAGTCAACATGAGCCAGTGGAGAGGAAGCATGAGCTCCAGCAGCTGTCAGGAAGCACCTGGGCAGGCAGCAGGCACCCAGGCCAGCAGCCACCGTCACCCCACAGCACTGCTGGATGCCATGTGAGGCTGGCACCATCTCTGGGAGGCACTGCAGGAGGAAGAGCCTCCACTTCATGGTTTGGGATGAGATGGGGTGGCCAGGGAACTGCATGGCTACCTGATATCTCATACGCATACTGAAACTGGTGGATGCAACGCAGTATAGCAGCTTCTGATGGGAGAAAGCTGATTTTCATTTCATTATCATTATGATGCCATTCTTTAAAGACTATAGCTGTGCATAAAGTGCTCCCCAGGGCCACACGTTGGCAGGCAGCTCCAAAGCCCAAGAAGGACATTTTGTCTTGGATTTCCTCTTCATTTCTTCCATGGGCTTCAGGTATTGCTCTACAGTCCATGTGAATGCCTTGCCTCCTTCCCTGTGCAGTCCTTATGTTTCCTACTCATCTCCAGTTGCTCTGCCTTCTCTGACAGCAGCCAGAACCACACTGGGGCCTGATGTCCAGTCAGCAGCATCCCTTGAAGCAATTGTTTACCCCATGTTCCCCTGGGCTGCTGGTGCTTGGATGGTAGCATTTCCGCTCCTCTACCCAACCCACTGCTCCCTCACCTCTCTATGGCCCTGGTCACTCTTGCTTGCACCCATATTTGCACATGGCTGGGACCTTCTCCCTTCCTGCTCCTCTCTGATGGTTTCTTTGCTTCTTTTTAACCTTGCCAGGACAGAGTGCTAGTTTGACTCACCAGTACCTTGCTGCAGCCACTCTGGGAATATCTCAGCCAGTCAAAGCAGCGTGCTGGCAGCATGGAAAACCAGAAGCTCTGTTCCCCAAAGAATCATGCTCTCCTTGCAGAAATGCTTTCCCCTTAAGGTCACTGCTTTATTTCCCCCCTCTACTCCCGTACAAAACAAGCAGGGCAGTGCCTGGCTCTTGAGTGGAGTCAAGGGGAAGTGTGACTGCTCCTCCCAGGCCTCCTCTGTGGGAGGAAATCCCTCCCAGGCCTCCTCAAGGCTGCTCTTTCATGTCAGCCATTGCAGCGTTTCCACCTCCATGCAGCCTGGTGTGGGGGATGCTGCACATAGGGACCCCCCCCCACTTTCACTGCGTCCTCATGCTGCCATTGCTCAATGACTATTTTGGGGCTGCTGCCTGAAACAGAAAGCTTTTCCCTCCTGCTATTTCAAGCAATGGCCCTGCATTGATAGACAGAGCATCCTTTGCAGCATCTTTGTCAATACAAGGCAGCAAATTTGGGGCTATGACCCACCAAAACAGCTATTTTGGCAGATGAGGCCATCTTCTGTCATAGTGGCAAAGAGGGAGACAGGCACCAAACCAATTCTCTGCTTGCTCTCTAGAAAACGGGCATGCATAATTTATTCTCCCCAACTGCTATCACAGCACAACTTTAATGCACACTGGTTTGGTTACCAGCAGAGCTGGCAGGGAAGGGGACGATCTGTTAGGAGCTGGCTGTGGGTTTCCAAGCCCCCAAAGGCCAGAAAAGAGCAGCCACACAGCAAGCGGGAGGGATGGGGATGGTGCAGATCTGCCATGTGTTGTGCAGCCCGCAGCATTTCCTGATGGGATAATCTGAGGCTAAACTCTGCAAGTACCAGATGGAGCTCAGGCCTGTTCATTCTCTACGTTAATAATCCAGAATGTCATTAATTTTTCTTGTACATTATGGGTTTTTTAATTTTTTTTTAAATACGTGGTCAGATGGTGACGTGAACATGCTTTGCTGGGGTCTCTATGGAGTTAGCCTGATGCATATTTGATCACACTCAGCTTGCAAAACAGCTCCAAGTCCAATATCTGCAATCTGAGTTACTGCCTGAGCCAGCAGAATGAAAAAGAGAAAAGTTATCTTTCAGCTGGGAAGGCTTCAGCTGTCAGCCCTGCTTCACAAGCATGAAAACTCCAAATCGCTGTGTCTTTCAGATGATCACTGGGGCGAAGAGGGCTGCTGAAGTCACATTGCTGTGAACACCTGTCTAAAATTATGCAAATGCTTTGTTCAGGAAGCTTGAATTTAAGTATGTGCATTAGTGCTTTGTAACCTGGGGTACACTGCTATGCCAGACCTCCAAGTAAACAGGGGGAAGCAGCAGCAAGCCAGTGCTGATGGGGAAGAAAAAAGATGACTCCATCCCCAATTTAAAAGGAAAGCACCACTTTCTCCTGCTTCTTTTGGCTTAGAGGAGGAAGGTGCTTGAAGACCAGCGTGGAGGTGTCGGTGTCACTGGCAGGCTGGTTTCTCGTTGGTGGCTCTGGGCAGAGGCATGACCATAAAGCCGAGCTGTGTGCAGGCTCTCGCTATGCTGAGGGCTGGGTTGACCTGCTGGGGATCTTGCAGCGCAGTGCAGGACCTGGCCCACAGAGGCATGCTCCCTGCGATCACTTATCACCTCACTCTGCTGCAACTCACCAGGGCTGTTGTTTCCCCTTGCAGGTTCAGTGGAAAGCCTGTCCCACACAACCTCGTCCCCACAGCCTTCGCCAGCTGCCTCCACCCACACATCCCGCATCGCTGATCCCTCCTTCTCGGTTGACCACACTGCCACCGATGCTTCTGCTGCAGAGGAGACCCCTAGTGAGTCGGAGTCGGTCTTCCTCCCCGACTACCTCTTCCTCTCCAACTGCGAGTCGGGCAAGCTCAGCCACACCAGGTAACTGGGGTCTGTGCACATGTCAGGTTGCAGCCACCCACTGCCTACCCAGCGATGCTCTGTGGGACGGGGGAAACTGGTCCCTTAGTCCTGCAGCTCTAGGGAGGCTTTCGAGACCAACAGGAGGCCATCAGCCTAATCCAGTTTACAAGGTCTTTTTATAGTGAAGGTGAGCAGTCAAGCATCATCTGTTGGTCCTGGCCCATGCAGTCTTTCTCCAAGTGCTCTTTCTGCATTCTGCAGCCCAAGATGCTCCACAAAGTGCCCCATGCACCAGCTCAGGGAGATACCATGGCTGTAGGGAAGGGACAGATTTTGGCTCAAACTGTGCTTTTTGTCATACAGTGTCACTCAGAAGAAAAGAAAGGGTGAAGTCTCAGCAGAACAGTGCTCTCGCTCCTCCCCTTCCTTCTCTGAAAGTTCCTCTGGTTTTTAACTTGAGTTCCTGAAACACGACAGTTGTCTTGCTCTGGGAGCCGCTTCTCCCCTTGCCTGGGAACCTGACTTTGTAGTTATAGGTATTTAGTGGATTCTGCAGCATAAAGATTGAAACTTGAGAAGTGGTGGCATGAGTGCTTCTCATGTACACCGAGGACTTGGTCTCTCTGCTGCTGCAGGGGATTGAAGCCCTGGGCTGACAGACGAGCATTCCTGGGAGGCAGAGATGGGGCATGCACTGGGCTGAGCTCAGTCAGAAAGCAAACACCATTAAGGGATCAGTGGGCATTTTCCAATAGGGAGTGAAAAGCAGCCCATGGAGCTGCTTCCAGTGGATTGCACCCCCAAGTCCCCACATTCACTCATTCACCCAGTTGCAACCGGAAGAAAAGGCAATGTTGGTCCTGCTCTGTGCCCCATGCAGGTGTGACAGCTGGTCCAACTCAGATAGATCGCTGGAGCAGACCTCATCAGATGATGTTTTCATCGACTCTCTGCAGTCCCAGCCCTCCTTGTACCTCGTGCAACCATCCAGCACCATACACCAGGATGGGACCCCACTGGCAAACCCTGGTGTGGTGCCCAGGAGCACGGACATGAGTGGGACAGCCAGCGACTTGTCCTCCTCTCCACTGCTGGGGACGTCACTGACACCAACCTTTCCAATGGAGCAGAGCCAAAGCACACTGCCCTATGGTGTGAGCCAGCTGGATGTGCTCTCCAACACACCCCCACCACGGCCCCCCAAGCCCACCCACTTCTCGGACAGGCGAGGGGATGAGGCAGGTGGTGGGGTGCTACAGAATGGCCACGCGGGGACCTGCCGTGTTCCAGTGGCACTGGTGCCCAGGAGGATCTCCCTGTCCAGCCTAGACAACATGAGGAACTGGAAAGGTGAGTGCAAAACTGCATCCCAAAGGGCTTGCTCCAAACCAGTTTGCAAGCAGTGTTCTGACCTATCTACCCGTGCATTCAGTTCTTGTCCCTCTCTCTGCCTCTGAAGGTCAAAATGTGGGCTTGTAGAGGAGAAGTGTCTTTGTGGCTGTGCTACTCAGAGTCCTCTCAGTAAAAGCAGCGGTCTTTCCACATGCTTAAAGAACAGGAAGCCAAGGAGATGCTGGGGGTGGGATGTAATCCTGGCTGAACCAGGGTGATTGTGTCCTTCAGCAAATCCCCTCTGTCCTTGCATTTCTTTCTGGCTAGTCTGAAAACTTACTGCAGAGCTAGACTGCTGCAAAGCAAGCTCAGCTTCCATGTGAGGTGCATTTCCACTTGTTCTTAAAATACAGCCATTTCAAAATAACGGTGGGAAATCCAGAATATACAGATGTCAAAGTCCAGCACACTCAGTATATGAGAGTTTTATTCTGTGGAGCCACTGAACAAAGAGGAGCAGCTGAAACACCTAGCTGGAAAGCATCACTTATTTTGGAGTGACATGTCTTTTTGGATGACAAAGAAAATGTAGGGCTTTATGGATAAGTGTCCTCCAGCCCTCTGTAGGAATCATAGAGTCATTAAGTTTGGAAAAGACCGCTAGGATCATCTAGTCCAGCACACTCAGTGTCTGGGGCCGTTAGATCTTGCCCTTGAAGCTCAAGCACTAGAGCAAGGAGACCTCTGCCCCAGGCTGTTTATCAATGTACAAACAATTCTTGGAAAGTTTTTGCAGAAACACCCATCAGTGGAAATGCTGTTCTTCATTATCTGTTACGTCTGCTTGCTCTCTGAAAAACATTACTTCTGCTTCCACGCATACACCGCTCTGACACCAGCAGCAAGCTTGAGATGGTTAACGTTTCTCCATCAAAGTTTGTGCCAAAATGCTGTTAAGAGGATTAAGTGCCCAAATGTCATGTTCTGCTACCATGCTGCAAGGTTATCTCTGCCTGACAGGGGGCAGCAATGAATTAATAAGTGCTGCTATTTTTTTTCTTCTCCTGAGTGCAGCTGAAACTATTTGAAAGGTTAAATTCTGAAGTAAAATGTGCTTCACAGAGAAAGATCTGAGAAAGAAATAGGGAGAAAGCAGATGCTCCTTATGGGCTCCTGCAGTTTAGTTCATTTGTTTACCTTTGGTAACCTGTAAATGCTGAGCTGCTGTTAGTCAACCTACTACAAAGGCAGCATGTGCAGGCAAAGCACCTATGTTGTGGCACCTACTGGTACCTGAATGCCTTTTTGCCAAAATAACTAAATACTGTCAGCGTCTGCTGATCCAAATCCATCTGTGCCCACACTAACCTTCCTGCTTAGCACTTCTACTGCTGCTGGCATTGCCTCACACCCTACTGCAGTGCAGCACTGATGTCTCCTGGGCCAGGGAAGGGTGCAGGCTCATGATGCTCCTGCCCTGGGACTCTGTAGAGCACAGAAAAACAGTTTTCTGCAAAGAAAATCATTTTCCAGAATAGGATGGTAGATGTATGCATAGGTAGAAGTATATATGCCTGTGTGTGCATATATATTTGTATCTATTCAAACACATGTGGTAGGTAGGAGTGACAGCAGTTCTGTTTCCTCCAAATCTCCCTGTTTCTATTTTCTGTCCTTCTTGAAATCAAAGTGTAACAGTCTTCCATTTTTTAGAGTGAAATCTCACCATACAGAGAAGAAACCTCCCAGCATATCCCACCACTGTTCTTCTATACGCTGAATCACATTCTTTTTCATGTTTTCCTTAAAAAATGAAGTTGACCCACACCAAGGCAATCCAGACAAGGGACACTGTGACCAGCAGCCTTCTCTCTGGCTGTTTGTCCTCCACCAGCACAAGGCACGTGCATCACATCAACATTTCTGGGTGGCAAAGATAATTTCTCCCCTATATTATGTTTGTTCACACACTATCAGTACATGCTTCCCTGGCACCTCATGCCCTAGGCACCTAAATGGCTTTCTGAACAATAACAAAATAATCTCCATCCAGTCCCTTTTGTTATAATGACTGTTATATGATAGATGGGCAATGGAGAGACTAGAGCAGGTGTTGGGTTTAAGCATTGGTCTGCTTGGTTGCTTGCTCTGCACGCCAGCCTTTCTGCCCAGCAAACTGCTTGTGTCTATGGGAAGCATCATTTACAGCAGAATTACATGTGAGTAATTTCCTTGGTTTCATCATGCTTAAAGTAGCTGTAATTGTTCTCGAAACATTACCAAGTTAGTCCTGCTCCTACATATCACTGAATTTCCTTGTTTAGGTTAAATAGCAGGAGTTCTGCAATCTCTGTGTAGCCGTGGTTATTTTAAAGCCATATGCTTTATTTTGGAATGATCTCCATGAGGTTGCTCTGGCTTGCCACATTTTTAATCACTATTTTTCCTTGCAGCAGACATGGAAGGGAGTTCTTTAAGAAGTCGGGACAAGAGACTGAGCTTGAATTTGGTAAGTACTCTGCATAAATTTAAACACAGATGCATGACAAACTTCCAAATGTGAGTTATTTCACATCCTGATAGACAGTCACTTCTCTCCTGCGCTTAGCAAAAGAATTTAAAAAATGGAGGAAGCCCTTGGCTTTGGACAATTTTGTGGCCAAGGAGAGGAGAAGGTCACAAAATGGAGAACTTGCTTTTAAAGCAGGCAAAGGCAGGTCTGCTGTGAAGGACAGCAGTGACTCCAGAATGAACCCATTGACCAACGGCACCTTAGAAAACTGCTTCTTTCTTGAAAAAAAGAGGGGTAAAGAAGCCTACCACTTCCTGATCCCGAGGAGCATCTCTTCTCGGGACATGGGGAAGTCTCTGCCTCAAAGCCCATGTGATTCAGAACTCTGCAAGCCCAAAGGTCCTGCCTCAGCTTTTATGGATGTGGGTTATGTGTAGCACCACCAAGCATCATACAGCCAGCCTTCTGCCTGGCACTGAACACTGTTTTCTGAGTGGGAATTCCTTTGCTGCTCATCTGCAAGCCCTGGTGGTGTGCAGCTAATGCCTACCTCCCCTTTGAAAGCTTGCAGAGTTGATGATCCTCTCTCCTCAATGCTCAGCCAGCACCAGCCTGCATGAAATGAATCTCTAATGTTTGTTCCCAGCTGTCAGAAATAACTTGTTTGTCTGTGCCTCTGCTCTCTTAGCTCCTACATTTGCAAAAATCTAGTTGATCAGGTGTTCTCCTTTTGGATGTTTTCATATAAAAGGGCCCCCTTCATATAGTAGGACAGAGTTGCTGCTGGAGGAGGCAAATGCAGCCTTGCTGAAGTCAGAGGATTGAACCTACTGAAGTTACCCATAAATTTGGTCTTACTTTCCAGAAGTGAGTGACTGAGCTTAGCTGTGGCACGAGCTCCACATCTGGCATGAGCATCTGAACATGTGTGTTTCTCCTGTCCTTCCAGCTCACACTTCTTGCTGAGGTCTCATCAAGACCTCTCAGTTTGCTCAGAGCTAGCTGTTTGTTCACCACCATTTCTCTCTCCTTTCCTCCCTCACCACTGAAGCCCTGCCCCTTCTCCCCACTCTACTCAACGGCTGTGGATGGAGCAGAAGACAACTATGTGCCCATGCGCCCCAGCACCTCTCCCTCGGCACCTGGCTCCGACTGCTCCCCTGACGGCTACATCCCCATGAGCCCCAGCTCAGCAACCTTCACCTTCCCTGTAGTCAACACTGAAAAAGTCACCAGCCCCTTACCTGAGCTGCCCTCCGACCTGGAGCCGCCCCCGGTGAACCGAGACCTCAAGCCTCGCAGGAAATGTAAGCCCAGACTTAAAGAGCAGCCACTAGGCAAGTGCCCTGATAGAGAGGACACAGGTGGCCTCCTCTGGGAGTGGCCCTGGTGCATTTCATATGTGTTAGTATAGCGCAGGAGTGTGGATCAACCCTGCAAATGGCCACATGGGTGTAGTTTGGGGGACAGGAGGCTAAACCCTGGGCCCTTCTGTCTCACCAGCTCCCCTGCCTCCCAGGAACAGGACAGCCAGGCACTCAAATCCCCACACCTGATGTGGACTTTTGGTTAAATCTTCCTTAAATTTTCCTTCCTGCCTCTCATGGCACTTCAAAAATTTGAGTTGCATTTTCAGAGGATATACTGGGGACAAAAGTTAGCTCTGCAGAGAAGAAATTGCTGAAGCCAAGTCTGTATTTAAGCACTTTGGGCTACAGAGCCACAGAGCCACATTCTTCTTGTTGAAGAAATGCTACATGAAGCAGGGAGAGAAATTTAGAGTGCTGCCGGAAAGCAGGGCAAGCTCAGCTCCTTTCTTAGAGGGTTTTGAGAACTCACTGGAAAAGGTACCGTAGTGTGAGGTGTGGTCCTCTCCATAGGTAGCACCTTTGGGTTTAAAAGAAAGCCCAGAGCCTTGACCTGAAGGTGAACTGGGCTCTCCTTTCTGAGGCATGGACTTGTAGGGCATTTGTTTTCCTAATGTCTATTGTATTTATTCTGTTGGTTTTGGACTAATGAGGGATTTTGCTTTCCTGCACTGACTGAAGCAGTCACCTGTTACTGATTTCTATCAATTAAGTTTTGTGAAATACTCTTGTTAGTTTCTTACTGTTATTAAAAGTTTGCATTTTCCTAATCAACCCGTGCTTTTTGTGAGTCTTGCTCTTGCAAATGTAGCTCCTTTTGTATCTCTTTGTAGCACGGCCACCTCCTTTGGACTTGAGAAACCTCTCCACAATCCGAGAGCATGCTGCTGTGACCAGGATGTGGACTGTGCCTTAGTAAGTTAACATGAAACCCACTGTTCCCATCTTTCAAGTATTAACATTGTGGAATGGAATTAAAAATAACTGATCACATTTCTTGAGATACAGTTTCTGGGCAAAGTCCACAAACCAGAATTTCACAGGGTTCCTTCCAACATCCCCAAGGCTTTTGCTGTCTCTGAAAGTCAATGCTCCCTGTCAAGACAGGTAGCTCCAATGAGCTGAGCATCATGCAGTGCTGCCAGGAGGGATGTGGGTTGGATATCCTGCAGATTAGTGTTTGCTCAAAACTCAGTGTCTTTTGAAGGTTCCTTTTGAAAAGACCAGAGCTAACCTTTGCTCTAGAGTGCTTGTTGTGATGGCTAAACTTCAACTTCAGGGAATTCATGAGCTGGGGAAGTCACAGCGAGATGCCTGGGGGAAAGCCTGGCCATACTAATCCCTCTCCCAGCCCAACCCTTGAAAGCTGGTAACCCTTCAGCTGCCTGCCACAGGCTGTCTGAGGGAGAACCAGTAGCCTCCCTTCCCAGCATCCCTGCCAGAGTGCCACAGTTAATGAGTGCTGACACAGTGCAGAGTCCTGAAGGATAATGAGCTCAGAGGGAGTTTGCATGTTTCGCATTAACAAAACTAAAAAAGGACTATGTCCGGAACTAATAAAGCAGAAGGAATTACACTGTTCATGCTGCACGAAGTAGCCATCCAATTTCCTAGTAACTAACCCCATTGTGCCAGCCTGCAATAATTCACTCATGATATACCTCTGACAGCAATGTTAGTGAAGAGATTTCCCTGAACAAGGGCTGAGTTGCAGCCATCTCTACACACAGACAGCATGTGTTTACATGGTGTTCAAAGCCAGCCAAGTCCCTCAGCATTCCCCTCCAGTAGCTAATTAATTTGTGTTAATCTCCAAGAAGCGGGTACCCGCACAACAAACTGCCCCACTGGCACTTGTTACCCAAACGAACATTCTCTTTTGTGCCCCTTGATGGAGGATGGCTACAATATTTTATGCTTTCTGTCATAGCAGAGATGGTAAAAGTTCATTAAAAAATAAAATAAATAATCAAATCAACTAAGACACTTACAAGATTATAACACTTTTTCTAGAACTAAGGAATATTTTTGGACATCCTTTCCATAAAGGCTGCAGCGTTAGTGTGAGTTTATTCACCATATGGACTGTGTCAGGCTTTGGCTTCATTTCAGAGCATCTGTAAGATGCTTCCTTAACCTCTCCTGTGTTTTTCTTCATAGCAATCGAATGAGCTTTATCTCACCAGAAAGAGACGGTATTAATTCAGCAAGAATATTTGCCAATTCAGTTTCCGGAGAAGAGGAAGAAAGTTACATTCATATGGTAATGTTCATTTTCACACAGCCATCCTTTGCTTTATTCTGTTCTGTCACATTTGATAGAGAATGTAGAAGTTTGTTTTCTAAGAAAAAAATGTTGAGGAGGTTTGTCCTTTGCCTTCTGTTTTAACAAAAATGATGAAATGGTTTTAAACCAAAGACAGTGGGACCAATTTACAGAGAGATAAGGGGAGCCCTTCTTCTGCTCTGCAGAACTCAGCTGTTCGCCCACGAATGTTGCTGAGCAGTTCCAAGAGATCACAGGGATCAGCCATATTTACATGAGAACTCATTAAGGCAAAGGCAAATTAAATCTTTTCACCTTTCAAAAGTGTGCCCTGCAGAATCTCCAAGGAAATGACAGAAAGCCGTTAGTGCACTTCCTAAAGAAACACACCAAATATTGTGCAGAAACAGAACGCCCATTACAATCTCCTATTGCTTCTGCTTTGGCTGATGGCACTAACCCCACTTCCCATCCCACGAGAGAAGAACATCTGGCTTTGTGGCTTCCTTTTCTTCATTCACTCTCCAGCCATATCTTGCAAAAGACCAGAACCTCAGTTTCCTTTGAGTTTTGGGTAGAAATTCATCTCAAGTCCCTCATTCTGAGCCACTGTCTACACATTTGGCTCCAGAGCTGAAGCCCAACAGCAAGGGCTATTCAAACACATTGCAGAACTGACAACAGAATCCATAAACAGTCATCTCAAATTTTAACCATGTTTTTACTAGATCACAACCTGCTCAAAAGGACAGTTCCAGATGTAACTGACTTTTGATTTTTCCAGTCATTTAAAATTCTCCACGTGTTTGTGATAATCTGTTCATTCTCTGACACACTCAGTTGCTAGATTTGGAACAGTTGCCTCCACAGTGGTTCAGCTGGCATCCCTGCAAATCTGAACCTTCCAGGGTCTTGGGGTGAGAAGCTGAGCTCCTTCCTTAGAATAATATCTAAATCAGAATGAGATTCAGCATGATTTGCTTGTTTTGCTATAATTACCAGGAGGAAAAGGCACTCTCCTTTCCCTTATGGCATGTGACAGCTAATCAGCACTGCCCTACAGTTAGTCACCAAATGCACCTTTGGCACAGGCTGCCCTGTGGGTGCTGGCTGTCCTCATTCGTGCTGTCAAGAGTCTCTGCTTCCAAGGCTGTCCTGCTTCCTCCTGGGATCATATTTTAAGAGCATTAAAAGTTTCTCTTCTTTCCTGACAGGAGCACAGACAGGCAACATCTCCATACAGTGGTGCTTTTCCATGGACAAGGAAATCTAACCTTGATTACTTAGCATTGGATTTTAATTCTGCTTCCCCATCCCCTGTACAGAAGGTATGAGTCCCCTGCAAAGAACCCCAAAACTCCTCACTCTGTATCTACTGAGAGGAAAACAAGATCCAGAGCCTGCTAGGTGCCCTAGGGATGTGCAGCAGTGAGGGCTTGTGGGCAAGTTTGTTTGGTGCTTACAGGATCTCTGTACGCTCTCCCATTTTCACTGTGTCTCCACAAACCCTTTCCTGCTAGTTTTCCCCCAAATTTCTTTGCAGTAACAAGTTTACAGCCCATGATATATTCAGCAGGTAAAACTGTACCATCTCTCGTAACACAGCACAATGTGCATCCTTACTCTTGCATCTCCAAAAACATTATAATTTCTTTAGCAATGCTGAGAAAATGCAGTCCTTGTTCCAGAGAGCTTACAGCCTGCCCAGGTGGTGAGCAGGTACCATTGCAAGCAAAGAATACTGTGTGTTTGGGAAGTTTTGTGTCCCATAGACCATTTTCCCTGTTAACTAGCACTGCTGGAGGCAGAAGACTTAGGACACCAAAGCCTTTTTAAATGAAAACCATCCTTCTGGTTAAGTGCAGGCAGGTTATCATAGCAGCAGGACTGCTCGCTTAAGGAGGATGGTAATCTGCATGGAAATAGCCAGGACAGCCATTTTCCTCACTCACATGCTGGGCTGAGCAATAGGGTGGTGGATGGTTGACTGTAGCTCAGGCAGGCTGCAAAGCAACACTTCTGTCAGCTGATGTCACTGCGAGCTTCAGGGTGAAGCGAGGCAACAAGAGAATAAGAAATAGCAGAAAATTGAGCCAGATTTCACTAACATCTTGCCCTAAAATGAATGTGATGTTTTTCTCCCTCATCTCTCACAGAAACCATTTCTTTCTGAGGAGCAGAGAGTGGACTATGTCCAGGTAGATGAACAGAAGACTCAGGCTTTACAGAACACTAAGCAGGAATGGACAGATGAGAGGCAATCAAAAGTTTAAAGGAAGAAGATTGGGATCTGGAGGAGGATTTTTTTTGCACTGGAACCATGATGTCAATGAAGCAGCTAGCACAGAGTTCAAAGGCAGAGAGAGTGAAGAAGCTGCAAGATGCTTGCAGTCTCCGGCGGAGTGGCATTTTTACCAGAAATCTTTGATTTCATTTGGAAATAGTATGTTAAATGAGTGAGTGCTTCACTGATGATTGAAGTAATGCATTACTCTTATTACTGCCCTTACTGGTAAGCTACATGGTACCATTTCTGGCATGACTCTGGGACAAGTCAGACACTTAATGTTAACAAATCCACTACAAGTTGCATTAATCTAGTTGGTCCTGTCTTTTCCCTCTGTTGTATAATTCCTAGTTGCTAAAGCTATTTTTCTATATTCCTCACAAACACTGTGGGTGCTCAGGCTGCCTGTGGCAGCAAGCATCTGACAGATATTGATGACTAATCAACTAAGGGCTAAAATACTGAAACAGTAAAAAGAACTTTTTAAATGTATAGCGCTCAAGCAAAGAGAATTTTGGAAAATATTTTTCCCCTGTGTTTAAAAGATCTGACTCTGAGCTGTCAGAAGCTCGAAACAAGACTATGTACTGATGGGTCTGGAACGTGTGGGCACTGACCCTCTGGTTGATGACCATCGTGTTAAGTTTCTTTCTGCTGTGGCTTATTCTTGTCACCTCTCGCTCTGATTACTACTGATGTTTTCTCCATGTCTTGAGGAGTGTCCTCAGCACAGCACAGCTGCTCCTCTAGCAGGAGACTGCTGACACACAGCTCTCAGCTGGCTGAAAAATAGAAAGGGAAGCTGTGAGCCTGTTTCTGCAAGTCTTGGGAGACCTGGCAAAGGATCAAGAATGCTTTCATTCAAACTGCAGAAGAAATGCAATTGGAATTGCTGGTAGCAATTGTCAAACTGATTGTTTCATCAGACTCACCCCAAAAAATGGAAAATTAAGAAATGCAGCGTGGTCTGTGAGAGGCTAGCAGGCCTGCCAAAAGGAAACAACAACACGGCATGAGGACCTCTAGGTTCAGGAAGCTTATCTACTTTGGGTCTTGATAGGGACACTATCTCAGGATCATATATGTGTACAGTTTGACATATTTAACTTTAGAAGCTTGGCTGCAATCTATTTTAAGATGGCATATAGCCACTGCAGAACTGGCAGTTTGCAGTGCAGTGACCCACACCGGACTTGATCTTTGCTCGTGCAGGTAAGTTCCACTGGCCATAGATGCCTGATCCTGCCAGCATGGAAGATTTCTTCTTTGACAAAACCAAGTCACTGGCCCCCTCGTGTGCCTGTTGTACCACGTTGTCATCAGACCTACTCAAAATGCTGAGTGACCAAGCAGTTGCCATGGAAACATCATCGCAGACATTGCTGGCACTGAAGGCCCTTCCTTACTGCTCTCCCTCCAGCCCCTGGGCTCACCAGGTGGGCTGAGTTGCATGTCCTGCAGGAAGGGGCTGCCTCAAAAGCAGAAATGCTGATTTCCTCCTACCTCAAGACAGCTGAAGTGCTAGCAAGTCTTGCTGTTTACTTAGATCAGATGCAGAGTTGGGTAGCTGGGTAACACCCTGCAAGAGCAGTGAGATTTGCCAGCACCTCTACTGACCCTGGGGCAAACTGGGCAGCTGGCCTCATAGTCAGAAATTGTCCTGGGTTAGAGATGCTTAGAAAATTGGATTTATGCTGCAGGATGTTCCCTCTTCTCCACCCCACCCAAAGCTCTAAAATGAAAGTTGATGTCCAGAAAAGTTTTGCAAAGAATTCAGGCTTTTCAGCATAAGATCTGGTGTGAAATTTAGTATTTGAACCCTCTTTTTTTTTTTTTGGTCCTAAACTAAACTCAGTGTAGGCAAGTGCTGCACAGTCATGCCCCAAGTGGGGCTGTGGGAGAGGGGAACTGGACTGTGGGGATCCACACCTCTGGGGGATGCAAGAAAGCTCACAGGGCCATGCTCACAAGGATTTTGGCCTTTCTGCTCACACAAATTGCTGTCATAAAGTGTACAAATAATACAATATCACTGAGAGCTCGCAAGGTATGCTGCAGTACAGAGTTAACACTCATATGAGGTGTGTATTGTGGTAAGGGACCATCACACTGAAGAGCCTTGTGAAGTACAGAAAGCATCTGTAAAGGGCAAGATCAATTATGCTAAGCTTCTGCAGAGCCCAAATTGCAAAGTGATGGCATGCTAGCCTCTGATTCAGACTGCAGTAGCGTGCAAATCAGCTCATGTTCTACTGGAGCATTTCCTTTCATGCTGTCAGAAAATCTTCTGAAGTGGAAAAATACCAAGCTATTGAGGACAACTGACACGTTTGTTATTGTGGTTTGTTGTTAAAACTGTTTAAACTTGGGCAAAACTTGGCTACTGGGTCAGTCAGAAAGAGCAAGTTCTTCTGGTTTTGTTTTCTTAAAAAGATATAAAAGTTCAACCTGGATGTGGCTGTCCTTCAGTCAGTCCCCCCTTAGACTTCTGCATGTCTCCTTTCTGCTCCTGGAGCTGTCTTGTCCCCATCAGACGCGGCTTACTGTTTCTAACTTTCACTTTTAAACTAAAAGTTAAGTTTGAGGTTATGGTAAGGTCCGACTGCTCCAGAGTCCGTGAGATGCATTCTTGTGCAAGTACAATATACTAAACAGGAGCAATTAAAAAAATACAGAAGAAGTTTAAAAGCAGAACAGTCCTCCCCAAAGGTTTTTTTCTCCCATGTAGTCAAATTCTGCAATAATCCTTAGAGGGCAAAGAAAAGGAGAATGGCATGAGGATGACAAAAGCCAACTCTTCTGCAGTCACCCCCGTCACTGGGAACGGTCTGAAATGGAGCAGCAGCCCTGCTGTGGTCTGTCGGTGATGGACCTGGTGGCTGCTGGCAGCATCCCTGCAACCTGCTGGCAGGAGGGGAGATGCTGGAGGGAAAAGGAGCCAATGCTTGGTTCATTCTGCTCCTTGGCCAAAGGCAAAAGAAAGACTGTGAAAGCACCTGGGAACCGAATCAGCCTTTGATGTGTCATATCTGAAAATGTGGGACAGGCAGGAGGCCAGGCACTCTCCTTGTAGCATCTTCTGTTTGCTGTAGGGCTATTATTTTGTTACTTGTCTGTATTTCTTGGAAGGTATCAGGGGAGCTGTTGCAGAGGGAGGCTCTGCACTTTGATGAGCAAGGGACAGCCGGCAGCCCCTTGTGAAGCTCCTGTCCCCTGAGGACCCGGCATTGCCCAGCTAAGGACCTGTAGTGCCTTCTCCAGCATCTCTGGGGGTTCTCATTCAAAGTGGAGAGGAGCATTAAGCAGGCAGAGTGGGCTCTGTTTACTTAGATGTGTTGCTCTGTGAAGCTTGCAGATGCAGCTGATCGCATGACAAGGAGGACAGCAAGCTGAGCAGTGACATTGCCTGTGGGCAGTGGGCACAAAAACACTTGCCTGAAGTAAATCCTGCAGAATCATAAAGAGATTAATCTGCTCTGAACTTCTTTCCTGAAGACAACAGAGTGTTTACTGGGAGTTGCACTCATTCCCAAGGCCTTTACTCAATGAGGAATTAATATAGTAGTTCTTCAGTGATCACACAATGAGCAAAGAGCGTAGCAGGATCCAGGACTCTTTGCTTTTCGGACTGAACTGTGTTTTACATTTATAACTCCTTATTACAGGAGATGGCATTAAGTACCTTACTGTCGGATAGGAACACTTTACCTGAGAATGCTTACAGCCATTGAATTCGAGCCAGGTGGTTCCCACCAGCTCACTTTGCCAAGGGCAGAGCCCGCACTTCTCCGTCCCACTGATTGCATCATAGGTGTGGGTTTGGGAGTTGCATTAACTTCATGTGATTCAGTGGTTTAGTAATTCAAAGACCATCAGATGCTGTGATGAGAATGAAGCACAGGGCAATGCCTTTCCTTTGTTCCCCTGTTCTGCAAAAGTTGCTCAGGTTAAAAAAAAAAGAAAGCCACCAAAATAGCAGACTTTTGTCGTTTCAAAGCCAGAATATTTTTTGTTCAAATAAAACTTACATCTTGTGCAAATGAAGCATTACACTTTTTTGTATCTGTAAATGTGTGGGGAAGCATTAAGCAGTCATCACTGTTGCCAGGGGGAAAGTCATTGACAGAGGGGAGGAGCTCTCCCTTCCTGATGTTTCATTGTGATATTTGTTGTATATATTTGCACATTGTATCCTTTTTTCTAATAAATTAATATAAAATGTAGCTGTGAACTTTAATTATTTTGATAAGCAACAGGAAACTTACCACATTTTTCATTTCATTTTCCATTTTCAGTCCCTTATTAAGCTGTGACTTGTTCAGATATAATGAGGATGCTCCTGGGTTTCTCGTGCCTCTCTGCAAACTACTTTGCCGATTTTACAAAGTGCATTTGGTGGGGAAGAGACCAAACCAAGGCCAGCATCAGCAGCAGAAAGCCTCAGGGTTCATGGAGCCTTAGCCTTCTGCCACCAAGTAATACAGGCTGTTTTTTGATGGCTCTTAGGATCTGTATTTCTCCATCAAACAGCACGTGGAGCTCCTCTCCTGACTGCTTTGGGCAGCCAGCACAGAGGGAGCTGGCTGTTACACAATGACAGCAGTGCCTGGGGTGGTGGCAGCAGAACCTCCAGCGTTCGTTCCTTGTGAGCTGCCTGCCAGGGACTCAGCCCTGACTGCACTCCAGTACTGCCCTTGCTCTGCCAAGGGTTTTATAGGTTAATGCAGCCTTTGAGTGTTTTCCTTGCGTATGTTTGTTGTTGTTGCTCATTGGATTGCATTCAAATATACTTCATGCTTTGCCCAAGAGCTCAGCTCCTGGGAGTGCCCGTGGCTGTGCTGCAATCTAGAGGTGGTTGATGTTGCCATTGCTGCTCTTATTTCTTTACTTCCCTCTCCTCCCCACCTGGGCATCAAAGAGCATGGGGAGACCTTCTCACTGTTCTGGCGTGGGATATCCAGATGCACGTTCACAAGGAGCTCTGACACTTGTGCAGACTGAGAGACCAAGAGAGAAAGCCTCCAGAAGAGGAGGCTTGAGGTGCTGCCTTGCATAAAAACTTTGCTGCAAGTTCTTGAGCGTGGAATTTAATTTCTGAAAGAGACAAAGTCGGAGGAGCATTCTTTCAGGCTACAAACTACTTCCTTAAGAGTGCTGGGCAAGCCCGATGGACTGAAGCCAGCAAATATAGCTCCCAGAAGAGGACAAGGGCTTCCCAGCAGAAGGTGGATTTGGCTTTGGTGTGTGTTTTATCTGCGAGGACGAGGCCACGAGCAGGGGGCAGACAGCCTGTTTGCCATGCAAAAATAAGATGTCAGGGTTTTTAAGTTATTTTAAAAAATACTTTAAAAAATGAAGATTCAACATTTCTTTGGTTGAACTTCCTCTACAGTTAGTCAGAAATCATCAGGAAATGCCAGCTAAGGAAATCCTTCCTGAACTGCATGCTCAGCATAAGGAGTGCGTGCACGCAGACAGAGTGGCGAGGCAGGCTGCTGGGATCCCAGGCAAAGAGCTGGGCAATGCCACAGGGACAGCTCGAGCAAGGACAGCTCGAGTAAGTACTGCACGTAAAGTGGAAGGGCAGGGAGACAAAGCAAAGAGGAACTGGGAGGTGAGGAAAAGGGACATGCAGGAGGAGGGCAGCTGTACATACAAAGTGTCATTCCTATAGATGAGACACTGCATGGATACGTAACATATGTGAATAACTCTAAAATTCAGTTTTATGGGTTTGTTCTAAAAACAAACACTTTTATTGATAAAACTATCTGCATTGCATTATTCTGTTACAGGGTTTTTGTTTTGTTTTTTTTTTCTTTTTGCATTTTTAAGCTCTTTTTTTTTTTTTTTTCCCCATCATCCTGAGCTCTGCTTTGTGCTTCTCCATATAAAGCAGATCCAGTCTTCAGAGCTCAACTTCAAGGGCTCTTTGACATCCCCAACAGCAGACCCCCAGCCCATGCTTGCAGCACTCAAACAACTGTAATACAAATAAGGAAAATAACCTTTGCTCTCAGAAAAGTAAGTGATGTCCCAACCCTGAAAATACACATTTTGGGGGGTTATTTTTTCTGGTGCAGGGACCAGCAGGCTCAAAGGGCCCCACAAGCTCCTCCAGCCTCTGAAAGGCACAGCAGGTCCCACTGCACAGCTGTGAAGAGCCTTCCTGTGGGGACAGCTCTCAGTGTGCAGAGATCTTGGAACAGGGGCACTGGTTTCATTTGATGGATACATAAGCTGTCACATTAGCCTGAAAGCCCTGTGCCAGCTCCTTTGCTGCATGAATGAGAAGGGAATCACATCCTGCTGCTGGCTTCTTCTCCCTCACTAAGCACCTGGGTCTCAGCCTTGCACAGACAGGGAAACCTGCAGCCTTAGGAGGAGGCAAAAAGAATCAAGCTCAGCTGAGAGGCTGCCTACAGACACTATCTCAGCAGCCAGCGAGAGATGTGGTCAGTAACGTCAGCCCAGTGTTGAGCAACCTGTTTGTCACAGTAGCCCAACTGGTTTCCGGGGCACTGCCCGCTTCCCCTCGTGCAATCTGTCAGGGTACAAAGGGCCAAGGCTGGGGCAGGGACAGAGACATGCAGCCAGGAAAGTTTCTGGTCCCAGAGTGAGGCCATTCCAGGCAAAAGCAAGCCCTGCTGGGATTTTATAAAACCACCTTGGGAACTGTCACAGGAGCCAGCCAGCAGAGAGAGCTGCACCGGGTTGGCCGTGCCTCACCCCTTATCCAGACCTGCCTACATGCTGCATATGGGATTTACTTTACAGCGCCTGTGTTTGTTCTCACTATCACTCTTCCACTCTCACTTGTACACAAGCAGACAAATGTCCGCACTAATCATGTTTTCACCCAGTGGCATCGTAGGCTTTTGTGGTCTTTGGGCTTTTTCCAAAACACCCAGTGTAGGGTGATGCCAAGGGTGCCGGGTGATGAGATTAGCCCAACACAGATAATCTGAAGTTGCACACAGTCCCTTGACCTGCCCTGGTGCAGCAGCAGGCAGCACAGCCTAAATTGGGGTGTAGTTAACATGAGCAGGAGTCAGAACTGAGAAATATGTGTGAAAACCTATTGCAGGGCTTTTAGCAGCCAGGTCCAAGTGGCCTGCAAAGACACAGTGCTCACTCAGTACCCCAGCTTACCTGTGCTGGAGTGGCAGGAAAGAGAGGTGTGACAAAAGAGGATCACTCTGTAACCAAGAAACAGGCAATGAATGAATTAAACCCTAGGAAAAGCTTTAGTGGGAGTGCATGCCTTATTAGCCACTGGGAAAGCCATGCTTCAGGCCAGGTTTCTCCCTCACATGGATTCCCTGGTGATTAACACAGTGTGAGCTCCCACTGAGCTTTTCCTGTGGTTAGGACGTTCATAATGTATAGTTTATCTGATGTCTTATAAACAGCAGAGCTGTGCAATCTTAGAGAATTCAGCCTGACAAAGACACAGACCCACAGAAAGTTATTACTGATCAATCTCTTAGTTCTACAGCCCATGGAGCTGCTTGTCGAAACCAGCATTTTCCCATAAGAACAGATGAAAGGAAGAGAGGGGACTGGCAGGTAGCACACAGCAGCTCAGGCTCCCACCCTTCATCTGCCTCCAGGTGCTCTCAGCTGCTCCGTGAGCCCCTCATCCCATCAAAGTTCCTGGTCTTGCCAGTACTTAATTGAGTTAATTTTACATTCTATAAAAAATCCATCTCCTTGGCAATTTTGAATCCAGCTTGTTGCAATGCCATTGACTTCTTGTTTCATCAACAATGACAGGTAATTAAAATAAGCAGTTTGGCTTCAAACACTTGTAACTCTCTACTATATACAACCACTTCAATGTCTTCCTTTCAGAATCATCTTACCAGAGGTTGATGAGTACCTAGTAACACAGTGAGATGCCTCGAGGGCATTCACGAGTGCCTGAGTTCATTTATCCATGACTTCTTTATTTTTTTGACAGTCTAGATAAAAGATATGTGCTGGTTTGCCCTTATCTTCTGTTTTCCTGCACAATAGAGGAATTTTATATGTTATGAGATGGAAGATTTTCTTTTATAGACTTCTGCAGCTTTGTCCCTATTTTTTCATGCTTAGCCAAATGCCTCATACATAGCCATCATCCTTCATTTTCATTCATTTATTTGGCATGCAAATAATGCCCTCAGGACTGTAATTTCCAGGACTGCTTTAAGCTGATTTTAATGCAAGATTTTTTGTTACTGTCAGTTTTATACGTGTCTGAAAGCTCCGCTTTTGGTTCCTTCATCTGTTGTCATGGTGGCAGCCCCACAATCCAATCAGTGCCCCAGCCCTATATCCTTCTTCTGTAAAGCAGGTACACACCACTTCCTTGGTGAGGATGGAGACATCTCAGATGCTCTTTGACCCAATGCAACAATTTGTGTAATATTATTAGCTGATGAATTTAGCTGTCTTTGTTCTCTGGGTGTATTACATCTGTGGTTAAAAAGGCCAGTGTTGGAGCAGAACACAGGTCTGGTCCTGACCAAGCGTCCTCCAAGCTTCACACCTTATCTCCAAGCAAGGCCAGAAAGCAAATGCACACTCAAAATATTGGTTTCACTGGCCAAAACAAGAGTCTACCAAAAACTACAGGCTGCTTTAAAGGACAAATTGCATTTCTGCCCTTTTTCTCTGAGACACAACTTTGGTTATTCCACTCTGAAAATCAGACCCTTTGAAACTATGGTGTCCAGCTGGCTTCAGGCTGAGAGAAATGGTTTGCAAGCCACTACAGCAAAGTCTCCCTCTCTCCTGTTAGGAAAGGTTTTTGAAAATTCCCTAATTACAGCCAAATCAGCCCCAAACATATGGCTGCAGCACCTGCAATTATGTGATGCCATTGGCTAAGTTCCCCAAATAGCCTCTTGCAGAGAGGCCCCCTGAAATGAGTGTTGGGGTGATGGGAAGAGAATGGGCTGAGAAATGCATCAGCCAGCTGTTAGCCCCATACCCCTGAAATACGTGGAGGAGGGCTAGCAAAGCTATTTTCTCAGATAGCAATTACGTTTTATTAGGTGTCAGGTAATGCTGGCAGTGACTGTCACAATCACAGCTACTCACATGTATACATACAGCAAACAAACAGCTCATCCTGGGAGAGCCCCAAAGCTGAGGCACAGCTCCAGACCCCTGCCATTACAACAAGACCAATCCTTGAGCCTAAACATCAGATCCTGAACTTACAGGAGTTTCCTAGATCAGCTTCTGCTTTTC